CCCATAAAAAAATCCTATATCCTATATCCTATATCCGCCCCTGAGCATACCAGCAAGCTGCTCTCTGATTGGTTGGACTGTTAGGTGCTAGGGTTGGGTAGCCAATCAGGCACAATCTTATATGTAGCTTTGTATTGACTTGTATAGTGAACAGGCCCCAGGCACCCTGGCACTGCCTGGCACCCTGGTAGCACCTCTTGGCTATCAAGGGCATGTAGTGTATTCATACTTACCTTTGAAGAGAATTCACTGCATTCCAACACAGATGGTATATATGCATCATGGAGCAGTTCACTTGATGGAAACGGAGAATCCAAGTAAATCGCTTTCTCTTTATAAGTCTTTAAAAAATCCTTCAGGAACATGTTCATTCGTGGCGGGTGCTCATCATCCCACACTTTCCGTAAATCAACCCGGAACACCTCCTCCCCAAAATTTTCTATTAAGTATTCCTCATCTTTCCATAGTTCTGTTGCTGGCCATCTAACTCCTCCCCCTTTAATCAATAATGGTTTGCTCTTTTGTACATAATTTGTATAAAATACTGAACTGTTCAGTTTTGTCTCGACGACATCAATCCCCTCCAATGGTTGCCGATGGGAACCAAAATGTTCTAAATGTCCTTTGATAGCACTGGATTCAGCATTTGCATATATGCAAATTAGCCAATGAATGCAGAAAGCAAGAACACCTACCCACTGCATTATTTCTGATATCTATATCTAAAAGTAAAAAACAAGATAGAATTCTGACAATTACTTTTATATACCGGTAGCAGTAAAATAAAACACTCAACTGTGACAACAGTAACACAGTCTGATCCAAGCGTAGCATATCATTTATCTAGCTTCAAAGGGGAACCGAGGACCGCATTAAAGCTGACTGATAAAATTGCTACACATCATTGTAATAAAGATTTTTCTAAGTTTTGGAAAGAAGTAAACTCTGATAAAGTAAACCAATTCATTTCTTGTTGTGTAGATGGTCAGTCTACTGAAGTGGATATTGCTGATATGTGGAAAGATCATTTCTCGAGTATTCTAAATTCTGTAAAAAATTGCGAATCTCGTGATTCAGTTGAGGCCAGTTTAGGTAATATTATGTTTCACCCATCTATGATTATTCAAGTAGCCGAGGTAAAAGAATACATTATGCGATTATCAGGACGGAAGGCGGTTGGGACTGACAATATTTCTCCCGAACACCTAAAACACGCCAGTGATAGTTTATATGTACTCTTGTCGTTGTGCTTGACAGGTATGCTTGTTCATGGTTATTTGTTATGGACTGTTAGAAACTATCATTGTCCCAATTATAAAAGATCGCTCGGGCGATATCACTTCCCGTGACAATTATCGTCCGATTGCTGTTGCTACCTCTATGTCAAAGTTGTTAGAATTAATACTTCTGAAACGGTTGGAGGATTTTATAACTACTACTGATTTTCAATTTGGTTTCAAGTCGAACCATTCCACGGACATGTGCATTTATGTTGTTAAGGAAATTATTGATTTTTATAAATCTCACAATAGTCCTGTGTTTTTATATTTCATGGATGCGTCGAAGGCCTTTGATCGTGTCAATCATTGGTCCCTTTTTAAAAAGCTTATTGAACATCATGTTCCATTATTTATTGTAAGACTTTTGATGTATTGGTATAATTCTCAGCAATTCTATGTTAAATGGAGTTCTGTTATGTCAGACTCGTTTGGAGTTTCTAATGGGGTTAGACAGGGGGGTATTTTATCTCCCTTTATAAGTTGTATATTGAGCTTGGTGATACTTCGGTTGGACTTGAAATTTACAATTTGTTCATCAACCATATGTTTTATGCTGACGACCTTATTTTGGTTTCTCCTTCTATTAAGGGTTTGAATTTTCTTGTAAAGAAGTGTGAGAATTATGCCAATGAATTTAATATTTTATTCAATTTTAAGAAATCTGTCTGTATGTATAATTTACCATCCCAGTGTGGCATTAAACGAGTTCCCAATGTTTATCTTAATGGCAAGCGACTACAATTTGTTAGTCAGTACTGTTATTTAGGATATCATTTTACCCAGGACGGAAAAGATGGTATTTGTATGAGAAAACAAATACATGGATTGTTTGCTCGAGCCAACTTTTTACTATGTAAATTTAGTAAATGTTCTCTTCCTGTTAAGTGTACACTATTTCGTAGTTATTGTTCAAATTTGTATTGTAGTTACCTATGGTCAGATTTTACTGTGGCAGATTTTAATCGTATTCGTGTTGCGTATAACAACGCTCTTAGAATTATATGTAATGTTTCTCATTCTTTTAATAGTAGTATAACAAAGACTTTCGCCAGACTACATGTTGAGGATTTTCAGGTTAAACTTAGAAAAATGTTTTTCGCAACGTATTTTGTCGAGTAAGAACTCTGTTTTAATCAATTTATTATCTAGTGATACTTTTTTTAAATCACGTATATGGCAAATGTGGCGTGGTTGATTATATTTAAGGCATACTGTGTAATTTGTTAATATTTTTTTTCTCACTTATATATGGGCTTGTCCTGAAATAAAAGATAATAATAAATAATAATAATATAAATAGGGGCAATATTGCCTCCGCAATTAGTATGCTAATCCAAACCAAGCCGCTCACATCGTGGTGGAAGCTGCAGGAAATTAGCCATTTACGATGTTTAGAGATCAAATACAATTCTACGGGGGCATGAATATGTACGCTAGCGATTACACTCATCTGGTTGGGCTTTTGATGTATATAGTTGTTGTTTTTGGTCGAAACGTGCCGCGACAAGTAAAAAATCATGAGTTTAAAATGGCGGCTAATGTATGCAAAATGCCTGTCAATCACAGTTTGAGTAAGCGAGCATAATAAGCATTCATTCACTTGGTGGACAGAGGCGGAGTTAATCACCCATGAGCACGTGGTGCAATCCATGGGATTGAGCGGTTCCCCTTTAAGCCAGATCAAAGCTAGTGCAGCTTGATTTCAATATTGCCACTAATCTAAATATTCCCACGTATTCTGCCTACAAAGAATAAATTGAATAAACTTCACAGGGAAAAAGCGCATGTGACAATTCACACTTTTCTTAGTTTGGCCACCATGGCCGTTTTTCACATTGTTGAGGTTTAATATCATCTTGTAATTTGATATAAATTTCTATGCAGTTAAAATATTAAAGTAAGCATAATACAAGGTTATTATGAGGATACCTCAAAGTATGCACGAAGACCGCAAAAATACGGCACGCTGTAACTTATGGCGTTGCGATGACAGATGTATAACAATATAGCATACTAACAAAAATTCATAATACCCGAGAATGGGAAGTTACATCAGTCTGTGGGGGGAGACTCATTTCTGAGAGTTATTCTAGTTTTTGTTATTTCACAGCCAGTGGAAAATTCAGTCGATTTACATACACATTCAGTCCTATGTTGTAGGTAGAACTCGTATTCTTGGATACTGTTTCATTGTTATCTACCCATTATATCTAATTATTCTTCTCATAGAATTAAAATAATGAATATATCATAGTAATTATACTCCCCAAAGAAAGGAATGTTTGTCATTAAATTTTCCAATTACATTTCTGTAACTGCCATGGAAACCGAATTGACTTTTTATATGATAAATGACTGTCAAATATCAATAATAATTTGTTGCTGTTGAAATTAATGGTCAAAAATTAATTTATAATTTTTTTTTAATTTGCAATACTGTTTGTCCAGTTAACAATTCAGAACTTTTTATCCGTATTTTTTGTA